GTTAAGTAGAAAAGATAAAAGTATAGTAACTAGTACTAGAATAAGCTACTTTAATACTGAATTTAAGCTTAAATAGAGCGTATTTTATTTTATATTTAATACTTTATTAAACTTAAAAGTAGTAATGAGTATAAAGAGAGGCGGCGGGACTAATCTATATAGCTTTGGCCCTATTTTTGGCGGTAATTAATGCACCCCTGTTAGCAAGAACTTTTGACAGTCACCTCCGTACAATCCCATGCACTCGATTCGCCATGTATTCTGCAGATAATGGCAGTAGTAGCCTTTAGATTCTGACACTGTCAGCAACACCAGTCACAAGCGCGTTGGTCTGGATATGCCCACGATCAATCAAGCATTTGCCAACAGCTGGGCCAGCGATCATGTTCTGGGCAGAATTGCAAAGAAGGGGTATAATTGCGCAATGTGGTATCACGGGACACCCCCCCCCCATGTCCCCTTTTTTCTCTTGATTGATCCGGGCAATGCGGCAGACGGTAACCGTCGTGCTAATATGGCAAGCATGCTGGGGGCCCAGCTCGGCGCTTCGGTCAAATATTGCCCCATTGAGCCTCGCCAATCTGTTTCTCCAGTCCAGCGACGTGCGTTCCCATGTTATGAGTAGCTTGCATGCTACCCCGCTGCTGTCTCCTGCCGCTTTTCTTCCATCAGCAAAAGATGTACCGTCAATCACATCGCGTCGCTACGCGCAACATGGAGAGACTTAGCCTTGACGTCGGGTAAAGTCCATGACACGGCTCATGTAGAGTTTGGCGGGCGCGACAACACAAAAACTAGGTTGAACTGGATTTCTGGCCCTCTGACTTCTCCCATGCCGACGGCCTCTTATCGTTGCGCGTGTCTTGTCGAATAACGGCGCCAACTGGACATGCGGCTCTTCAACCTCGTCGCGGTAGCCCTATCGCTGTTCTGCAGCTCCCTAGCCATAAACAATGGACTTCAAACCACAGTCGAGTGGGATAATGGCTCCCTCATGGTCAACGGCGAGCGTGTCATGATCATGAGTGGAGAGTTCCGTATGCAACCCACTTCACTGGACTCGAGCACCTATTCAGCTACTAACCAGCCGATTTCTTTTAAAACTTAGACTATGCCCGTCTGCCCGTGCCCGAGCTCTGGGCTGACGTCTTCCAAAAGTTCAAGGCAAATGGCATGAACACGGTGAGCATCTACTTCTTCTGGTCCTACCATTCGGCCTCACGCGGCACCTTCGATTTCACCAGCCCGGCAAAAGATGTGCAGCGTCTTTTCAAGGCTGCCCAAGACGCTGGATTATATGTCATTGCGCGTCCAGGACCCTACTGCAATGCCGAGACCAACGGCGGCGGCTTCGCGTTGTGGACGAGTGACGGCAGCGGTGGGCGATACCGCACAAGTGACGAAACGTATCGGAAAGCCTGGTCTGAATGGGTCGCTGAGATTGGCGATATCATAGCGAAGAACCAGATTACAAACGGCGGCCCCGTGGTGCTGACGCAGGTGGAAAACGAACTGCAAGAGACACGGCATGTGGCGGATGATACGCTGGTGATTTACATGGAGCAGCTCAAGGCGGCGTTCAAGCAAGCGGGCATCACTGTGCCCCTGACCCACAACGAAAAGGGATTCCGGTCCAAGAGCTGGTCGACGGACTACCAGAATGTGGGCGGCGCAATCGACATTTACGGACTGGACAGTTATCCTGGGGGTATGAGCTGCACGAATCCGGACACGGGATTCAACCTGCCAAGGACATATTATCAGTGGTTTCAAGAGGTGTCGCCCACGCAGCCAGAGTATCTGCCAGAGTTTGAGGGCGGCTGGTTCCAGCCTTGGGGTGGGCATTTCTTCGATCAATGCCTGGCGGAGCAGAGCCCGGAGTTTGCAGATGTGTTTTACAAGGGGCTGATTGCGCAGAAGGCCACACTGCTGAACTTGTACATGGTATGTTTAATATTGGTGGGGCTCTGTAAGTAAGGGCTTTTTATTAACAGCACCAGGCTTATGGCGGTACGAATTGGGGCCATCTTGCTGCGCCCGTCGTCTACACATCCTACGACTACGACGCGCCACTTCGCGAAACACGAGAAGTCCGGCCCAAATTCTCGCAATACAAACTGCTCGCCCTGTTTACCCGCGTGAGCAAACGCCTGCACAACACCGCCATGGAAGCCAACGGAACTGCAAATGCCGTATCTAGCTCTGCAATCTGGACCTGGCAGCTCAAGAATCGCGACTCGGATGCAAGGTTCTATCTTGCCGAGAACAACAACACGCGCACGCGAGACGTGACGAGTTTCTCCATCACGGTCAAGACATCACAGGGCGATGTGACGATTCCGAGCATGCAGCTTGCGGGACGACAAAGCAGGTGGGTTGTTACTGATTACGAGGTTGGAAATGAGACGTTGCTTTACTCGTCGGCGGAAATTGCGTCGTATGGATTGTTCGACCGCCCTGTTCTTGTCTTGTACACTCGGGAAGGACAGGCTGGCGAGTTTGCCTTCAAGTCGCATGGCAGCTTGACGTTCAAGTCGTGGGGCGCAGAATCAGGCATTGCAAGCGGAAAAGCAAATGGCACATATTCGAGCTTCAAGTTTACCCAGAGCAAAGGAGCGACCATTGTCGAGTTCTCCAATGGTGTTCTAGCGTACCTCTTGGATATCCCGTCAGCATGGACCTTTTTTGCGCCGCCAACGACCAAAGATCCCAACGTCACGCCTGACAAGCAGATCTTCGTCCTCGGACCGTATCTTGTCCGATCAGCCAGTGTCTCTGGCGGAACTGTTGCCGTCGTTGGCGACAATGCAAACGCCACTACGATTGAAGTCTACGCCGGTGCGAGCGTAACCAAGATATCGTGGAACGGCAAAGACCTCGACACCACCCGGACGCCGTACGGGTCTCTGAGCGCAACACTCAAGGGCATTTCAGACCGCAAAATCACACTGCCTGCGCTCTCCAACTTCAAAGCGGCAGACTCGGCACCAGAAACGGATCCCGCGTACGACGACAGCAGGTGGACGGTTGCGAACAAAACCACGACACTCAGTCCAGTCAAGCCGCTGACGCTGCCCGTGCTCTTCAGCAGCGACTACAAGTTCTACGCGGGCGCCAAAATCTACCGCGGCTACTTCGCCGGGAAAACAGCCTCATCCCTCAATATCACCGTGCAGGGCGGGCTCGCCGCAGGCTGGAATGCCTGGCTCAACGGGCAGCCCATCGGATACCATGCAGGCAACGCATCGCAGACGTCGACCACAGCCGTGCTCTCGCTTCGCAGCTCCACGCTCCGCGAAACCAACAACGTCGTAACCATCATAACCGACTACACAGGCCACGACCAAACCTCGACGGGCCCCGCAGGCGCCCAGAACCCGCGGGGCATTCTCGGCGCACACCTGCTGTCAGCAAACAATACCGCGCTTCCATTTTCGCACTGGAAAATCCAGGGTAACGCCGGTGCAGACGCAAACATGGATGCTGTGCGCGGCCCCATGAACGAAGGCGGACTCCACGGCGAACGCCTCGGCTGGCACCTCCCTGGTTTCGACACGACGTCGTGGACGCGCGCGAGCCCGACAGCCGACGGCGTGTCTGGGACGGGAATCCGGTGGTTCACAACCACCTTTACACTATCCATCGCACCTGATCTCGACGTGCCGCTGGGCATCCAGCTGGGCGCCGCAACCGGCACCGTCGCACGCATCCTGGTCTTTGTAAACGGATACCAGTACGCCAAGTTTGTGCCGCATATCGGGCCGCAGACGACGTTTCCCGTTCCGCCGGGCATACTGAATACCGCGGGACGTAATACGCTCAGTGTGGTTTTGTGGGCGCAGACGGCGGCGGGGGCGCGGCTGGACACGTTGAGATTGGTGGAGTATGCGAGGTATGAGAGTGGGTTTGCGTTTGCCGACGTGCAGGGCGAGAGGTTGCAGCCGCGGTGGGTGGATCGGAGTGCGTATGCTTGAGGGGTGTGGAAGGTTATGGAAGGGTATTTTTTTTGGCTACGTACGTACTTTGCTGTGCTGTGCTGTGAGGATGTTTATGTCTATGCGTGTGTTAGTATATATATATATGTGTATTCCATCTGTGGAATGAAATTTCGTGTGTGGATTTGAGATTGTTGCATGCAGTTTGTCCATGTAAGATGTGCCATATGTCAAAACACTGACATATACTAGCTTTGTCTGTTTTTTTATTTCAATGTCATGTACTCCTCTCTCTCTCTCTCTCTTGTCCACGTATTCTCATATCGTCGTTACTATCTATACATGAAATCGTCATTTTGCCAAAACCAAAAAAGGGGGGGGAGGGGGGTTTCACTTGATATTCTCTTTTTTCCAAATTCAGCTTTCCCAACCATCATCTGCATCTTCAAAATCAAGAACCATGTCAAACCAGTTCCCACCTCCATACTGACATTTGCTAGGACCGATTTTCTTGAAGCCGGCTCTTTCGTAAAAAGGAATGTAGTGGTCTCTGCAGATGAGGGCTATGCGCGAGGCTACACCCGAGTCCTTGATTCGCTGGCAGTAGCTCTTGAGTAATATTGAGCCGAGGCCCTTGCGGGCAAACTTGGGGTGGACACAGAGCGAGTGCAGACATACGGTTCTGCCGTCTTCGTTGTGGCCAACGGGCGGGGTTAGTTGGTAGTTTGATTTCCAGTCCTTGGGATAGTCCATGGCATCGTCGGTGACGAGGGGCGAGGCGGCCTTTGTGGAGATGATGTGGGCCAGGAGGATGCGTTTGCGGTCACTGTCGTGGGAAAATATCGAGGGAAAGGCGCGCGTCTTTAGCAGTTCGCCTAGGGGCCCGCATGTGGTGGGGTAGGCCGAGGAGAAGAGGCCGCTACAGAGTTCGCCGCAGGTTCGCAGACGGTAGTCGAGCTGGCTGAGGGTTAGTGGCTTGGTGTACGAGGGCACGGGGGTGCTAGGCGGGCGGGAGCACGGGGGCTTGTTGTAGTTGCACGGGGGGAGGAGCGCGAGGGGCAGCATGGCGTTTCTGCATGGTGGCACATGTATGTAGAGGAGACGGATGCATGGCACGGTGGCATGTAATGTGACGCGGCGCGGTGCAGCAGCGGGTGACGCGCACAAGGGAGTGGCAGACGACGTGCTCTCACCTTTTCGCGCGTGGCCGCCTCGATGGCATCAAAGGCGGCGTGTTCGAGCCAGTCACAGTCGTCGAGATCGTCAATGTTGAGCAGCGACGAGTAGGGGCGGACGCCCATTTGCTTGAGGCGCTCTTCCTGGGCAATGCTGGAGCTGCGATGGGGCACCAGGCTCGACTGCTCGTCCATCGCCCACGAATATCCCTCACCCATATCCCCCACCCATATCCCCCACCCATATCCCCCACCCATATCCCGCCATGCAGGCAAAGGCCCTCGTCCGCCTGCCGTCCATGGCATCGCCCACCGCGTACGTGCCCATGTCAGCGTGCGCGCAGATACATGCTGACTTGCTTGGCCAACCGCCAAAAAGAAAACATCAACACCAGGGCCCATGCCACGAACACTCGGCCGTTCCCTTCACCGGCACGCGAGTCGAGGCGACCCGCTAGCAAAAGGCGGGGCTGGCATGGCTGACAGTCCCGTGACTCGCTCAGGAACGCTCCCACACCATCCCGCCCTACGCATACGCATCCACCCTCTCTTCGTCCCGCCGCTGCCACTGTCGCCCTCGCCCGCGCCCGCGCCCTCGCCCTCTGCCAATTCACTGCCGCAACCCGCACCCCCCCCCCGCCGCCGCCATGCCGCGCGACCTGCTGTCGGAGAAGAAGACGCTCGACAGCATGCCCAAACTGTCGAGAGAGGCCCATGCCGTCGCCAGCCCCGAGCCCCCATACATGTAGCGACTGCCCCGCTTCCTTGGCCATGGTTGCCCGCACACGGCCAACGACACGGCCTCAAGTCAGGGCAGCCGGTGCTCCTTCGACTGCGCGTCCCAGCGCCAGCCCGACGACGTCTGCCGCACTGCAGCGTGGCCGTCTTCTGCACGCCCACAACATGGCCGCCCTGCAGCCGCGAGCCTCTGCGCGCTGAATCATCCCCGCCATCCTGCCTCCGCCCTCTTGCGGCTCCACTGCCTTCCATTCCCTTCCAGCCCTGTCCCTCGTTCCATAGTGACCGCAATCCTCTGCTCCAACCCCCTCCGTGTCACCGCCGCCGGCCTCTTGTAGCCGTGCCCGCATCCCGCCCCGACAACGCCCTCGTCCCCGCCCGCCATGTAAGTCGACACCAAGAGCCGTTGCTGTGCCACCACGACGCTCCGCCCCCCCAGGCGCCCGCTCACACCTGCTCTCCACGCTCCCTCACACGGCTAACCTCCGTCGCCAGGCCGCGCGTCACCATATCCATCACCGCCCCCGGCACCCAGGCCGACGCCGACCTGCTGACGCTCGAATTGCCCCCCGGCAGCACCGTCAAGGACCTCAAGGGCTTCATCGAGGCCGACACCAGCCTGCCCGAGGCCGCCCAGAGCCTCTACCTCAACGGCCACCCGCTGCACATTGACACGCAGACCCTAGAGGATGCCGGCATCAAGGACGGCGAGATGCTGGCCGTCGTCATGCGCGCCGCACCCAGACCAAACAGGAACATGCACCAGCCGGGCAGGCCCGCCCAGCCCGACCCCGAGGGTGTGCGACAGCTCGTCCTCAACGACCCCCAGCAGATGAACAAGCTGCGCCAGGCCGACCCAGACCTCGCCGCCGCCGTCAACGACCCCGCCATGTGGAGGAATACATATGCCCAGCGCCAGCGCCAGGCCGAAGAGTCGGAGCGCGAGCGCCAGAACCAAATTGCCCTGCTCAACGAGGATCCCTTCAATGTCGAGGCCCAGCGCAAGATTGAAGACATTATCCGCCAGGACCGCGTCGTCGAGAATCTGCAAAAGGCCTACGACGAGAATCCAGAGGGTGCGTCTTTGCTTATATCAACTACCACATACTAACACCCTCCCCCCAGTCTTCACTCGCGTACACATGCTCTACGTCAACACCGAAGTCAACGGCGTCCCCGTCAAGGCCTTTGTCGACTCGGGCGCCCAGGCCACCATCATGTCCCCCGACTGCGCCGAGCGATGCGGTATCATGCGCCTGATGGACGTCCGGTATGCCGGTATGGCCCGCGGTGTGGGTACAGCGCGCATCCTGGGTCGTGTCCACCATGCCGAGATCAAGATTGGCGGCGCCGTTATGCCCTGTGCCTTTACCGTCATGGAAGGCAAGGATGTCGATCTACTTTTTGGCTTGGACATGCTCAAGCGCTACCGTGCCAAGATTGATCTCGAGAAGAACGCACTGTGCTTCGAAGGCCAGGAAGTGCCCTTTTTGCACGAGTCGGAGATACCCAAGAGCTTCGAGGAGGCCGAGGTAAACGAACCCACCACCACCGGCCCCAATGGCGAGCAGATTGGCGCAAAGACTGGTGCCGTTCGTCCAAAGCCCTCCGCACAAGCTGGCCCCTCCAACACCAGTGCGTCGTCATCATCCCAACCCGCGCAATCACAAGCTCGTCCTGCAGCATCCAAGGCACCTGCACCGCCCGCGTCAAATACCAATTTTCCGCAAGAGCACGTCCAGCAACTCACTAGCATGTTTGGCTGCTCCGAGCAAGAAGCTATCCAGGCCCTGGAGATGTTTGGCGGCAATGTAGAGCATGCTGCAAGCTTCCTCATTGGTGGATAAAGTGCTATCTCAGTAGGAGTGAGGAAAGAAGCAGATTCAGCATGGTCTGTAGAGTGATGCTTATCTACGCCTACATGGTGCAGCTCCTCCCGCTTGGGATTGATTCAACATTCGTGTATCCGTTCCTTGGACGATGATCCTCAAGACGACGGAATCATGAGGCTGGCATGGACCAGCATAACACGCATGCCTTTTACCAAGGAACTTGCCTGGGATTCAAAGGACTTTTATGACGACGAGCCAACTACACTTAGTTGAAGATGAAATAGACCAAACGAGTGTCATCAACCAAACACTCTCTGGGCAACCATTTGATTGCAATACCACTTCACATCCCGTGAGCCATGCTTTTCTGTCGCGTCTACCTGATCTTGTACAAGCAAGGCTTCAGCACCGCCTTGTCCGCCTCTTCGCCCTCGTCATCATCCACTGCCATTCTCTTTCCTTTAAGCCCGTACTTGAGCCCGCCGCCCCTCTGCGCCACAGCGCCTTCCTTCTGGTCCTCGCGCGCATTTTTGCCCCGACTCGCATGCGCCCCCTTGACAAACTGCATCTTGACAAACATCTTGTTGCCCAGATCAATCGCATCGCCCGGCCGCTCCGGCAGTGCATCCAGCACGAATCCGCGCTTGCGCAGGACATTGACAAAAGCAGAGACGTCTGTGCCTTCTGCCGCGCTCTGTCCATCCACCGCAACAGCCAGCTCCGCCTCGTCAGCCGAGTCCTCGGGCCCTTCTTCCGGCGCCTTGGTATCCGCCTTGGCCTTTTTACTATTCGCAAGCACCTTTTTCCTATCCAGTGGTTTGCGCAGCGAGCCAATCGAATTGATGGGGACAGCACCGCCGCCTTTCTTCCTGTCGACGCGGCCAAAGCGCGACTTGATCTCCGATACCCAGAGCTCGCCGCGCCAGCGCAGCACGCGGTACGCCTCGTCGATGAAGTCGAGCCAGTTTGTGCCCATGAGCGCGAGGCAGAAAATGGCTACGTCGACGCTGTTGTCGGCGAGTGGCAGCGCCGCGATATCCGCGACAGTGACGAGGTCAGCCGACGGCCCGCTGGGCTTCGACAGGTCGAACGAGTGGAAGGTTAGGTTCAGCGCCTTGAGGTGCGGCTGCAGCCGGTACGACAGCGATGCGGTGCCGCAGCCCAAATCGGCGATTGTGCTGTGGCCCTTGAAGTCGCGGGGAAGCGGTTTTGCGTCGCCGCGGGGCGGCGCAATACTTGTAGATTCCTCTTCTTCGTCTTCAAAGCCCGGTCCGCGCCGCATCGCCCACTTGTTGTGGGCCTTGCGGTCTCTACGCTGGTCTTTGTGCCGCAGCTTGGCGCGCACCAGGATGCTGTTTACGTAGCCGTCGACGGGATTCGAGGGCCACACTTCGACTTGCTGCGCGAAGCCGCGGTGGTAGTCTTCGAACATGGAGGGGTCTTCTTTGAAGAGCGAGGCGCTGTCGGCCGAGGGCTTGGTGTAGAGCGCTTCGTTGAGATGGCGGAACCGCGCGCTGGCGAGCTTGCTGCGCATCGAGCGCTGCAGTGGTGTGAGGCCTTTTGGCTCGGGCAGGAGGCTTTCGAGTGTGGGTGCTGCGGGTGCCGTGGTGGCTGAAGCGGCATTGGCGGCGAGCAGCTTGTCGGCCTTGGACTCCTTCTTGCGCTTCTTCTTGTCGCGCTTCGACTCGCTGTCTGTAGCTGCAGGCTTCTCCGTGGCAGGCTTTGCAGGAATAGACTTTGCATCGTCTGCCACATCGTCTCCCTCCTTTGCACCCTCTTCATCCTGCTGTTTTTCCTTGTTCCCTCCAGCCTTTCCCCTCTTCCTCTTCTTCCCCCGCTTCTCATGCGCCGCGTCCTCGCTCGCTCCCACACCCTCTGTCTTTTCTATTCCAACCTGCTTGCCATCTGCCTGCCCTCCGCTCGCAATGCTCTCCCATTTCTCCGCTAGATTCTCCGCATTAACCTCCTTCTCCTCGCGCCTCTCCTTGCGCTTCTGCGCCTTCTTGCCCGGTTTACTCGTTTCTTTGGCCTTGGGCGGTTCCACCTGCGTCTTGACCTGCGCCGACACGTTCCATCCGGGTACCGCGAACATGACTGGCGTGTGCGTAGGAAATTCCCGTGAGTGAATTATGGCTGTTGGATGCGAATGGTTGCGGGCAAAAAAAAAAGTTACTGTAGGTGGTCAGTGCTTGCAACTGTTCAGCGGATGCAACACCCCACTAAAATTAGTGCTCCACTAAAGATAAGGCTATAGAGCCTTATACAAAAGCTATTATTATAAGATTCTCTAGTAGATTATTAAGCAAGTAGTAACATATATTTCTATCTATAACGTATTCCACCACCGAGAGTGCCACCCCACCGAGAGTGCCACTTTTTCTTGGCATCGCGAACTTCACGTA